GAACAGGGTGGGGAAAGCGATTTTTGTCTGAATTTTGAGCGACGGGCTAATCTTCTAGGGGGAGAATGGATGTGTCCGGGATTACACAAACAAGAGTGCGAGCAAGAGGGGACTCCCCCTTTTCGTCTTCTTTAAAGGGCCCATGAAACGATTTTTGGGTTGAGATAAATCATTTTAGATTGGGATTCTACTAATATCACATCGTTCAGTTGACCAAAAGAAAAAAGATAGAAAGTCAAAAGCCCGACTTTCAGTGCGAAAATTTGAAAACAGAGCGGACTATTTCGTACCTCCTCCCCTTCGCAACCTCTCTGCCTTTTCACTGTGATACATCCGCGGTCCCAAAAGCGCGTCATCGGGTCCAAACTGACGTCACACGCAACCGGACCTCACTTATTCCCTTCACCCCTAAGCTGACATTGCTCTGGAAGCTATGCGCTTGCCGGATCAATCAGCCGCCTCCCTTTCATCACCTGACTTCATTCTCTGCAGCCACATTTGCCAACCTCACGTGGCAAGTGTGGCTGGCCCAACGAGCACGTAGCTTCAACAGCACTGTCAGCTTCGGGATGAACGGGGTGGGGAAAGCAACTTTTGTCTGAATTTTGAACGACGGGCTAATCTTCTAGGGGGACAATGGCTCTGTCCGGCTACACAAACCAGATTCCGAGCGAGAGGGGCCTCCCTTCTTTTCGTCTTCCTTAAATGTTTGGTGGAATGGGCGATTTATGAGTTGAGGAGGAAAGCTAAACAGGAAAAAGTTGGAAAAGCGTTTCATGACCCCTTTAACTGTTTGGTGGAATGCGCGATTTATGAGTTGAGGAGGAAAGCGAAACAGGAAAAAGTTGGAAAAGCGTTTCATGACCCCTTTAATGGAAGCCGAACGCTGACAGACTAGGCAAGGCGACAAGGTCACCGGCAGAAGCGGCCTTTCCTTTTATGCGTTGTTGATGCCCCTTCGACCTCGCCTTTTGCAAATCCTCCCCACCTGCTTTTGCGTCTTCGTGTGGCTGTCAGCGAGCGCGACAGCCGCTTTAAGCAAATCAAAAGGATGAAGCGAAACGCGTGACTCAGCGTGACCTCTCTACATAGGACGCGTAGGACAAAAACGTTTGGACGAAAACTTGTCACGTGACTTTTTCTGTCACGCTGATGGGATCTCTGGGGCTGTCGTTTTCGCCGTTTGCCTACCCTTAGCGAAAACCAGTATCCTTCGAGTATACTTTTTGCACTTTTAAGATACTAATTTGAGACGAGGTTAATAAAAGCATCCTACAAGGATGCTGTTTTGAAGTACCCGCTTACTACAAGTATCCTTTCAGAGTATGCTTGAAGTAGGTGCCATAGTAGAATACTTTTAGCCTACTAACCAAGTATAAAGTAGATTTAAGTACACCTGAAGCGTCCTATTAGAAGTCTTTCCTAGATCCCTTTTAGTACACGAAAAGTGGTTTAGAAAAGTACGCTAGAAGGACGTTCCAAGTGTTCGCCGATCGTCTTCAAATGCACTCGACCAGCGCTCGCTCGACATGAAAGGAAAACAACATTGGGCGCGAGTTTTCACGAAATGGCGGTCTAGGCGGTGCTTGATCTGGGAGCTCTGTTGTCTTGTGCCCCATTCGCCAGCTTTTCATCGAGTTCTCGGCATTTGTATCAGTGGCTAGCACGACTGACTACGTCCGTGATTCCATCGTGTAATCATCCGTGCTAGATATGTTATTGGCCCCACAAACATCGACGAGCCGTGTGTCCTGCCCATGGATCTTCAGTTCATTGACGGATTACGCAGTGCGGTTTGTGTATTGATGCACCGGGTCGCGAAATTGGTGCTCCTGAGCTTTGTCGTCGCAGGAAAAAGCTTTATCGTGCCTGCGTCTGAGTGTGGTCTCCCTGTACCAGTGCACACGTGATGTGTGAGCGAGCTCCGAGCGGATTCGTTGCAGTGTTAAAATTTGAATGATTTGGAGGCTGTGCTTTCGTGAAGTTTTTCATGGAGTTCTTGCCATTTCTATCAGTTGTGAGCGTGACCGACCACCTTTGCGATTACGTCGCGTGATTCTAAATGCCAAATATGGTGCCAGCCATGCAACATATGCATCGACGAGCAATGTACGGTGGAGAGCAAACCTCCTCATGTCTATGTGTATATGACGCTATGCAGTTTGTTTATTGGTGTACGGGATCCCTATTAAACTTTAGCGCAGAAAAAGAAAAAAAGCACATCGCTGCGATTTGAGTCCGCGCTTGACTTGTGTACGGTGCAGGCAGTGATGTGTCTCTTGGCGTCATGATTAAATTGAGACTTGCCTGCTTGGATCGAGCAGACTCCTCCTGTTTATTTTCGTTGGCCCGGTGCGCAAATGGAGTACAAGGCACATATTCGCAGCAACTAACTCTTGTGATTTCTGGGAGCCGGAATTTCGGTCTCTTGATGGGCAAACATACTCACAGACTCCTGAATGCACTTTTTTTGTTGTTGCTTTGTTGTGCACCTGTAATCCTATCTCAGTTCTGCAACCTGCTACTGTTGTCACCGGTCAGTTTACAGATCTTGTCTTTATTGGCATCCATGTCCATCCTATGCCTACCCTTATTCCCCAGTCACGCCTAGGTGATACAAGCAGCGAACTATGATTGGGGAATGAGGGGTATGCCAGACATAGGAACACCATTGGTTGATATAATGTGTGAGGCAATGAAGGCTGGCACCAAAGCAGTCGCAGTTGCCACATCATTTCCAGAAATTTGTGTCGAAGACTAAGAGAAAATGGCACACTCGACTCTTTCCCTTCACTGCCCTCCTCTACAACTGTTATTGCAGCCGAAAGTGATTAATTTTCAGTACTCTAGAAGGTATTGTAGCTGTGTCGACTCTCTGTTGCCTGCCCTGAATGTAAATCCAAGTTGTCCCGTGTCGGCCGGGGAAAATGCAGTTAACTCGCTGAAAATCATTTCATCACTTACTTACGTAGGAAAAAAATTAATACGTACATGTCGGCTCCCCTAGACGGATCGGCTTCCCTTGTCTGCATGTAAATTTGTCAAAACAGGTTCCTAACGGGCAAATTTTTGTTTTAACAATACTTCTGGTTAATCGGAACAGGACAAGGTGCTAAAACGCTTGAGCGAACAGTAGAACATTTTTTTGCCATTGCACTCAAAATTTGTTTTAAATGCAGCCATGCCTGGTATAAATCAAAGCTTGGAATAACAAAATAATTTGTAATAATCTGTGTGGTGCTGTTCCCTGGAAAATTTATTTTAAAAAGTCGGAGGTTGCGACGGTGTGATGTTTTAATAGTAATAAGAACAGCCAAGAATATACAAATCAAGACTTGTTTATATCGATGCTCAGAAACAACAGCAGGGTCTCGATTCTGGTACACTGACATTCATAATATTTACAATGTGCTCTTCCAAAACAAAGTAGGATAAGAGAAAAACATGTTACTTCATGCATTGGACAGCAACTATATCATCTGTATACAGATGCTCAGTTAAATATAAACAGAAAAAAAGAAAATACAGAATACAAAGCGCGACTTCTTTTTTTTCTTCAATTAGACAAAAACTACAAAATACCTAAATACAATATACCAATTCACCACTAAAAGTTAACAAAAAATAGCTTCAAGTATTCAATGCTATTGGGTCTCTTACGGACACTGAGATGCTCAAAACTTAGAACTCTTTTGCCCATAAAAATGCACATATTCTAGAAGTATGCCACCGATGCCGATGCATTCAGCAGTTTAGAACAGAGGAAGATCGCCCCATGAAGTCAAGCTTCATTGCAGAATGGCAGAGTTTTTGGGAACAGTTCTCTGGTGCAATGCACGATGACAAGACTGCCCCCTTTATGAAGCCCTTGGTGTCAAGATATAAGCCGTTTTTCAAGCTATTCCTTTATGGTGTTGCTAGTGCCCAGCTCATCAATGAGGTATGGATATACGATTCTTTGGCTCCAAAGTGGTTTTTTGGGCCAGTTGGTTCATAGTTTAAAAATATAAAAGCGCCGATAAGAGATAAGGACCAAGATGAAGAGAGACAAATCAAGACGCACTCGCAACTGTTGTTTATTGGAAAGTACATGCATCATATAGGCCCCAACAACCTGTCGGTCACCAACGTGTCGGTGCAACACTCTTATATATCGAAACTTTTTCTTTGATAGGGTGATTGACGCTTCACTTATGCTCGATTTTGGCGCGTAGGATAAAACTAAGAGAGAGGTGCATGGGGCATATGAAATTCAGTATAACGGTGCAGATTGCATAAGTGAAGCATCAGTCGCTCTATCAAAGAAAGAGTTAGAATATATTAGACCAAGCATTGCACCAACACATTAAAGTCTGACGGGCTGTTGGGGCCTCTATTTGCATGTACTTTCCGATAGACAACAGTTGCGAGTGCGTCTTGTGTTCTCTCACTTCATGTTAGTCCTTGTCTCTAAGCGCTTTTATATTTTTATTCTTTGGCACCACAACCTAAATAAAAGGATGCTGGTGGTCATCCACAAATCAGGACTCGGCAGGAGGTTGACAAAAACTGGTAAAACGGGCACGAGCAACACACAAGTGGGCCACCGGTGAGAGAGCATCACTTCCGCTAGAACGAGCGAGGCAGACAGATTTGAGGTTGAAGGGATTGCCGCACACGGGACACAAACGGATCTTTCGCCTGTACTAAGCGCCGAAGCCAACAGAATCATAAATGGCAGAGTACGATGTTGGAGCACTGCCACAGCCCGTGATCACATACAAAAGTGGTGGTGGGAGAAGTGTTCGCATTAACAGGCATTTATGCACTAGACATCCGAATATCAGATCCACATACACTCGGCGATGGCGACTTGTTCTCATTGAACAAGAGGATGCAAAACAACATATGACAGCCAAGGCAGGTTCGATAGGCCATCCAAATCCATGCCATGGCAACAAGCCAAGAGAAAAAGAACTAAAAATGGAGCAAATAAGGACTGAGTATGATTGAGCCTGAGCTTAATCGCGCTCTACCTTGTTCGGTAGGGGCACAAGAAGGAAAGTGTCTTCGGTGCGGTCCATAATGACACATTTGGTCATTAGCTGCTTGGAACTGCAAGCTGTGACAACACCCGATCTTGCACCTTCACGCACGGACAAAAATGGCAGTCCTAGCTGTACGTCTTTAAAAACTACCGTAGGAGTCAGCTGCAGTTTCTCCATAAGCACAATGTGTTGGATGTCAGACGTAGTACTTGCAAGCTTAAACACTGCGAGTGCCTGCACAATGCCAAAAGATCCATCACTGAGTTGAGCAACACAGTTGGCTCTTTTTGGCATTGGGTAGGACTCAGAGTTCCAGACAATGCCATTGCACTGAAAGCGGTGGTAATAAGTCAGGCTTGATGGCGGTGCATCTAAAGCCCTCTCTACTGCCACCTCAAATCTTACATTCTGGGCACTTGTGTTGTGGCGTGTGTACACGACTACGTCGCCTGGAATTTGGGTACCTGTGCGCCCCATGGTCTTTCGGCCCATCATTTCTTCAAAAAACACTACTGCCTGTGGGAGGCTCATCCTGGTTATCAATGGGGCCAGCTGCTGCCACTGAAAAAAAGTCCTTGCAATCTGCTGGCCCACACACTGTGTGCCCGAGAAGTAACTAAGCAGAACTGCATTCCTTCCCTCAAATGGGAAGCAAGAGTTTGCCCACAGAGGTCCCCACGCAGCAACTGCATCTGCCAGATGCAGAAGCTGGTGCACATTGTATGACATGTGTTCTGCACCGTACAGTCTTCCCATTTGTAACACAAACTTGCTCAGCAGAACCCGAGCTTCACAGATGTCGGAGGTTGATACGCTCTGTTTTAGTAGCAGGTATGTGGCATATGCCAGCAATGTAAAGTGCTGGAAGTACGGTGCTAGCAAAACAGGCTTGAGAACAACATAGCCATAAAAAAGAAGTAACATCCTGAACTCTGAAGCCTTCCAGAAGGCTCTGTCCTCAAACCTCCTGGGTGTGCGGGTGACCTCTGTGGGTGGCAGGATGCCCAGGAGAATGGCATTCATGGTCACTAGTTTAGTCCCAGCATACCATGGCTGATCATGGTTCTTGGTGTCAAGCCAGAGCTTCAGCAGCTGCCGCATGACACCAAGACAAACGCAGTGTTGGTAGTCTGGGATAAACCCATCAACAGGGTTAAACCGTGGAATGGTCATGATGATTGAGGGACCCTTCACGCCATGAACTGGTGTTTCAGGAGTTCCCTCCGCTGCTTCTATCATGTGGGCATTCTCTGAGCGCTTCTCAGGTGCAGGGTCTAGGTACGGGTAATGCGAACCCCCTGGGTGATAACACCATCCACATCCAAAAAATCCATTAAACTGTTTGCAGTTTTTTACTGCCGATCTTGCGACAGCATCCACAGAGCAAACCACAGCAAACACACGCATGTTTACTGTTTTCCCATCCCTGATGCAAGGAAACCCGGCTTCTAGTTCCTGCAGCTCCCTTGCGAATGGTGTTAGCAGTGTTGTCATATTTGGCTTGGTAAACCCAAACCAAATAGCTGGCATTAGCATGTTTTGTTTGCGTATGGTTGGGTCCAGTTGGAGTATTTGGCACTGTATGGGCCAAATATTGTACGTCGACTTTTCAAATGCTCTAATGCCATCTGTATTCCAGATGAGTGACAAGTCGTCACTTGAAAAGTCGCTGCATAGTCTTGCATGTTCTTGACCGTCAACAATGTCTGATATATCGGGCCCTGTTGGTGTTGCTGCCATCCACTTAAGATCTGGCTGCACAAGAATCCGCTGCAGCTGCTGTTTTATCGGCAACACTAAAAAGAACGGACATGACTCGGGATCCGGCTCAGTCTCACAATTCTCACATTTTGAGATGTCGACAGGAAGACCCAAGTACCCTTGGCAGACAGGGCAGTAGTGATGTTTTTCTGCTTCTACCGCATGAGCATCTACAGCTTTCAGTAACAAGTACTTTGACTGGGGTACACTTCCAGGGGCAATGATGCATCCTCAGAAGGTCAGCAGTTGCCTTGTCACCATCTTTGTGGCGAAGTATGTACGACATGACAAGGGCAGCTAACTCGGCTGCATCATCCGACTCCTCTTCGCTATTTGCAGATGGGTCTTGCTGCGATCCCTATAGAAGAAATAGAAATATATATATATATATATCTTTGATTTCGCTATGTTTTTCATTTATTGGTTTTGCATCGTAAAATTTACAAGAATGGAAATTAAGTTATTTTTATCTGACATTCAGTGAACAATCATATTGTTCCCCCCCCCCCCCCTAGAACCTCAATTTCAAGATAAGATTCGGAAGTTTTCGGTTCACTAGAAAAATAAAATTATTAAATTGCTAGCAGACCTAACTATAGATTTTATATCCTAACATTGATATTTTCGACGTAGAACTATTGAGAGGGGAACTGGAAGCTGATAGAAATCCCTCAAAATTGAGAATCCCAAGACATGCCCCAATATTATTTTAAGGCATTTGAATCCCATCATGCTTCCAAACACAGTTAGAAACCCCCCCTGCAATTAGATTTTCTGGCAGGGAAGCTCTCCAATGTGTCAGACATGCTTGGGAATGGACGCAAGGCTCACCTGTGAAGACGGGCCATCTCCGACTGATGTGCCTTCGATACCATCCAACAGGGGCGCTGCAGTTGGCTGCGGCACCGGAGAGTCACCCAGCAGTCGCTGTGAGCCCTGCATGAATTGGAAGGTATTCTCGACTTTAGGAGAGCAAGATCACCCCCATTAATGTTTCAAGGCATTTGAATGCAGTCATTCTTACAAACACCGTCAGAAACCCCCTGCAATTGCTTAGATTTTGTGACGGGGAAGCTCGCTAACGTGTCAGCAAGACTTAAGGACCGGTTCAAAGGCTCACCTGTGGAGCAGCAGCGTCTTCGATGAATGGGTCATCGATGCCTTCCAACACGGGTACTGTAGTTGGCTGTGGCATCTGAAAGACGCCCAGCAGTCGCTGTGAGCCCTGCATCGGATTAGAGGTTATTCCCTAAAATTAGACGAGCAACGCCACACTCATTAATGTTTCGGGGCATTTGAATGCAGTCATCCCTACAAACACCGTCAGAAATGTCCCCTGCAATTGCTTAGATTTTGGGACAGGGAAGCTCGCTAACATGTCAGCCAGGCTTAAAGGGGCCCTGCAATCCTGCTTAAGTGTCTACCTTTTTTGCAGCTTCCCCATCTCTGGTTGTTCGAGGAACCCAGCGTCCACGGAGAGAGTAACTAAATATCAGTGCCTCATATTTTAACCGGACGACGCCGAAGCCTTCTCCACCTACGTGGGTGACCGACCCATAGTACCGAACGCGCTCAGCATGTGACGACATTGTGACGTCGGTCCTGGCCAGCTCCCGCCTTACGACTGGTCAGAGCCTCTAAAAGCTTTCTTTTAGTCGAAATGCAAAATATAAGCGGCGCAAACTGTTTCTATTATAGATGAAGTAGTTTTTGCTCAGTTCTGAGCATTCCAAAGGCCTTCGGCGAGCAGGTTTGGTTTGCGCGGTTTGGCCGTTTGGCGATTTGGCAGTGCGAAGTGGCTCTTGTTCTGAACTCATCTTTACCCCGTGTTTGCTGTCGTTTGTGGTCAATGAAGTGTTATGCAGAATTAGAGTTTAGTCACGCAGCAAATGCAATGCGAGCCACCCTGGCTGCCCGCTTCATCCGGTCTATCCAGCGCGTGCTTTAGTGGTGCCCTCTCAAGCCGACGCCATAGAGTGCAGCATTCGTGAGAGCTTGCTGAGCTCACTACCCCTCCTCGAGTTCACGGCCACCCAAGCGAGGACCAGGGACGTCATGCGGGAGGTTATTTTTTGCTTTTTTTTGTAATTCTAATCTGCCTATCACTTAAAATAAAGCAAAATTTGAGAAAAGTTTTACTAAGTTAGTACGTTCAGTACGCTCAGGTTCGGTGCAAATTAAAAACCTGTCAAAAATGAAAGACGTTTACAACACCCTGTAACGTCAAATTAGAGCGCAGCTCTTGAGGAGAAGGAGGGGAGGGTATGCCCCTCCTCCCTTTCCTCCTCCACCACCTTCTCCTTCTCCTCCTCCTCCTCCCCCACGCGGTGCACTATGGGACATTTCAATGCACCGCGCTAATTATGCCGACAATGACAGCGACGGCGACGCCACTCAAACCAGAAACAGGCGCTTAAGAGTTGCGCTCTAAAAGTTGTTGCAGGGCCTCTTTAAGAACTGACTCGAAGGATCACCTGCGAAGCAGCAGCGTCTTCGATAGATGTGTCAGCGATGCCATCCAACAGGGGCACTGGAGTTGGTCGTGGCATCCGAGAGACGCCCAGCAATCGCTGAGAACCAACCCTGCATCGAATTGAAAGTTATTCCCTACAATGAGACGAGCACATCCAGCCCCACTAATATTCCAAGGCACTTGAATGCAGTCAGTTCTAACAAGCGCCTTCAGAAACCTCCTGCAATTTCTTAAATCTTGAGGCTAGGGAAGCTCGCTAACGTGTCAGCCAGGCTTAAGGACCGGTGCAAAGGCTCACCTGTGGAGCAGCAGCGTCTTCGATGGATGGGTCATCGATGCCTTTCAACGGGGGTACTGGAGTTGGCTGTGGCATCTGAGAGACGCCCAGCAGTCGCTGTGAGCCCTGCATCGGATTGGAAGTTATTCCCTAAAATTAGACGAGCAACGCCACACTCATTAATGTTTCGATCGCATTTGAATGCAGTCATCCCTACAAACACCGTCAGAAACGTCCCCTGCAATTGCTTAGATTTTGGGACGGGGAAGCTCGCTAACGTGTCAGCCAGGCTTAAGGACCGGTGCAAAGGCTCACCTGTGGAGCAGCAGCGTCTTCGATGGATGGGTCATCGATGCCTTTCAACAGGGGTACTGGAGTTGGCTGTGGCATCTGAGAGACGCCCAGCAGTCGCTGTGAGCCCTGCATCAAATTGGAAGGTATTCCCCAACATCAGAAGAGCAATTAAGCTCCACCCCCATTAATGTTTCGATACGTTCGAATACAGTCAAAACACCGTTTGAAACCCGCTCCAATTGCCCAGATTTTCTGGCAAGTTATGTGTCAACCAGGTTTAGTACATTGAAGGCAGGAATAACTTTGCAGTGTAGGCAGTGATTTCCCTACACACCCTGTAGGGTGGGTGTACGTACCCCTCTTGTTTTTTCTGAAGGCACAACCTTATGGACCTTCTGACAAATATGTGCCGCCACCTAGACACGCGACTGGGTTTGAGACTAAGTGGCGAGAAAACAATGCGCGCGCAAGGCCTCTCCAACCCATTCTACACCCAAAACGTCGGCTACATCCTGTTCTCCCGATGAGGTGCTGTGACCTAACGGCTCCCCCAAACTCGCCTTCATTCCCATCATGCATAAACTTCTGCCCTGAAGTCGACACAAAGAAACCACCTTCCCTCTCTGCTTGGCCAGAAGGAAGCAAGAGAGGGTACTGGAACCATTTACTCTCGAATTGATGTTTCTACGAAAGGGATTCATTCGCAACTACTCCTATACTCTAATATGCCTACCCCCCCCCCCCCCCTAATTTTAATTCCTGGGGATTCCTTTCGATATAGAGCTCAGGAAATAAAATATTTGGAATTGACAAAACTGCAATATTGCAGTATACCTTCGATCGAGTCTTCGATGGAGGTGCCTCCTTCGCCATCCGACATGCACAGTGCATTTGGTCTTTGGCAAGCAGTGAGCACCGAGTTATTCACTTGTTGATGCAGTATATAATTGTTTTACTAGGAACGATTAGCAATATTTTTTTATGCCAACAAGTTAGCATACGCGTTCTGGCGCTTGTCAGCTTTCTGCAGCACACAAGTTACGCTGTTTGTGCGAAACAAATTTAAGCATGAATAAAACATAGGTTTTGAGTGATTTTCTTTTTGGTCGAAGAACCGAAAAAGTTTGGTATTGATCAGCGTAGTCAGGAATCTTTTCGGGGGGGGGGGGGGTGCTGAGGTGGCTGGGATGTTGTTCATGGCCGGCAGAGGGGGGGAGCGGGGGGGGGGGGGCGCGAAGCTTCATAAGCCAAGGCCCCCCCCTGGTATTGTTGTTTCTGGTCGGGAGTTATTCCCTGCGGGGTGGGCTTTGCCGCATTGGCCGGTTTGTCTCGCGGGGTTTTGGGGGGATCCAGGCCTTTCACTAACTTACCTCTCGTGGATTTCGGACGCCGCACGCTTCACTCGGGGAGAGAGAGGAGGGGAGGTGCGCGGGTGTCAGGCTCGGCTCGGTTCAGGTTTGCGTACCACGTGTTGCGCGCAGCACGTGGCACAACCGAAGTTGAGACCGGGCCTAACCCAACCTTGCGCCCCCACCCCCTCCTTTCTATTCCCCCGTTAACCACGCACCCGAAAACCACGAGCAGCATGCAGTCTAAACCGCAACCGCCGGCCGAGGAAAGTTCTCAGTATAGCTATGTTTCTTGTATTTTGTCCAAGGTGATATCTTACCTGAGAAGCTTGAGATCTTT